TTGATCGTTTCTTTACATTTGCGCACGTTGTCTGAGGGTCGCTGTTGCCGTGATGTCTATTGAGCTTTTTCAATGAAAATTGACATCGTAACTGCGCTAGTCCCAGAGGCTTAGAAGTTCGCTATTTTTTTCGGCGGCAGTGGATTTTCTCGCCATTCTGTGTCTCTTGCAGAGCTTGCTCCTTGAGTCGTTTGCTCTCAGGTCACCCTTGCGTCCATTTCGTGCGGACTTCAGTGTGGAATGGACGTTCTTCAGTTTGGTTCGAACCTCTTCAGCGTTGTGCTTGCACAGCGAGAAATGCGCCAAGGTTGGCGCTCCTGACCCACAACGTTGCGCTGCCGTTGCATCTGCGCATCTACGTCAACGCACCCTCACCTCTGTACATTTACATCTTCACACGCTCACATCTGCAGATCTACCTCTCTACCTCCACACACCCACACATCTGCACATCTATATCACTTGCGCATCCACACTGTCACTCCTTCACATCCGCCCTCTCTTTCTCTCTTTCTACATATCTTTTCTCTTAATATTCTACAGCTAATTTCTTCGCAACTTCTTACTCAATAACAGATTCTATAAAGAAGTCATGGCTCGTGGACAACTCGATTTTAACTATTTCCTTACTCGGAATCGCTCTCGGGCCGACCGTCGTCTAGTTCTTGTCTCCTTGTTCATCGCTCGCGCTTTTCCTTTCCAATTGTGATGGCAAGTCATTGTCATTGAGTGCGCGCGTAAAGAACATCAGTGGTGGCTGCAGTGAAAGCGCTTCGCTTGTGTCTGTGGGTGATGGATTAAGCTCACTGGAGTGAAACCATGTGGCGGTTTCTATCTTACCCCTTCCGGCGCAGGAAACTGCTAGCCGCATCAGTGACTTGGGATTGTCTATGGTAGCGGAGGCTGTCTTGGAACTGTGTTCGTCTTTGCAGTGCCCCCGCACCCAGCGGCGCAGGAACATGGATCTCATGGGTGCGTTGCAGAGACGACCCGCAAAGAGGAGTCGGGCCACGATAGCATCTGTACACGTGTAGAGGGCTGCTGCAAAGAGCAACGGGTCAACTTCGATGGTGGTTGTGCGCTCAAAGCAGCTATCGCACACATCTCCACATGTCCACAAACGCAGAAAGATTCCTGATCCACTCTGTATTGCCGCGCTCCTCCTCAGCCAATTTCAGAGCGTTGCAGCTGCTCGCAGGGCTGGCGACAAAGAGGAGGAGGCGCCTGCCTGCTTGCACTAGTGCTTCGCTCCAAATTCCATGTTGGGGCGGCCCCGCTTTCATAGATCGAGCAGGGACGAGGATTAAATCTGCACTCGTTGTTGCGTGGTAGCCACTGCCAGCAGGTGGTGGCAAGCGTGCTTGCTGTGACATACCAGCCAGGCTCTTGGGCCGTGTGGTACATGTGTATGGCAAAGCTATTTTCGCAACTCTTGTGATGTGAACACGATGTTGACGCATGCGCTTCTCTTGCCAGCCGCCGCTTGGATAACGGCCGCTTGATGAGCGAGCCGTCGCTTGGATAACAGCTTGATGAAGCAGCCGTGTGGTCCATGTGGATCGGCCACGCGCAATAAGGGCTGCAGCCCAGTGACGCCGACCGCAGGAAATGAGGTGCTGAGCCACAAAAGCAGGCTGGGACCAACCGTGGTCGTTGTGTTTTTGATTTTTCTTGCAACTATTGGTAGAGCTCCCAAACCCTTCTTGTTTGAATTCTTGTTTGAAGTCTTTCTCTCTATATAGACATATATATATATATAGTTTTTTTTTTTGAAACGTGTTTTTTGATTCCAACTCGTTTCTTGCAACTTCTAATGTTCAAGAAAAGTATTCATTCATTTAAGGTAGGCAGGGTCGGTGATGAAGAATTGTTTGATGTGAGTCATTTCAATCACACTCCCTGAAACTTGTGGTGGCAGTGGCATTCTCACAAATGGGCGCAGTGTCTCTGCAGGAGCCCCTTTTGAGATTTCTTTGCACCATTGCCATGGAGGACCTGGCACGTTTGCACGCCGCAGAGCAGGATAAGCTCACGGCCTGTTGCACTTCAGTGGGCAACTGTTCTGCGATTTTGCCTTTTCTTCACACCCTATGACGCGGCCTTTGCAGAAGCCAGCCGTGGCTGACGGATGGGAGCTTGCTCGGCGCGAAAGCGAGCTTGGTCTTCGGCGAAGCGCCCGACTGCATGTGGTGCAGCGCCGGCCCATGAGCAGGAGTACTTGGCCGCGATTGGAGAAGTTGCGTGCTCGAGACTTGTCGTCGCCAGGGTTTTGGCTTTGCCAGCATGTACTTCGATGACTTGACTGTCCAGGACTTGGGTAGCATGAAAGGGTCAGCTCAGCATTTCATTACCAACTTGGCCACTTACATGGGACCCCATTCCAGGCGAGCGGCGTCGGACGCAGCCAAACAGCATTGTTGCTGACCTGGTTAACACGCCAGAAGGGAGCGAATGAGGTCGAAGGCTTGAAGAATCCCATCCGCATGTTCAGAGGAGTATTGACGCTCCTTCAGGGTGTTCACGCCTGCTCGCCCAAGCAACCGAAAAGATCAGATTTGGCAGTGAGTCCATGTGGAAGCCGTTGGGCCTGGGTAGCCTATCCATCAGGTCAGTGACCTTTGTCAGCAAGCGGTCCGGGCCCAAAGCTCATGTGACACGAACCGACGTCGTGCCACGAAAATCACACTGGCTCTGCATCTCTTGGTGCTTCTCAGAGTTCTGCTGCTGGCTTCCTCTTTGTGAGCTTTGGTGAGAACGCGCGGCCTACAGCTCCTTGATCTATGGTGTAAGCACCCAACCAAAATAGCATAGCGTAGCTTGAATTGTTGACGGTGTATCATCTACACCGCCAGTCAGGCTCGCTCCTGCCAGGGCCTATGGTTTGTGGACAACATCGCTGCGTTGATGTCCCTGGCGCAAAAACGTAGCAAGAACCCATGGTTTTCGAGTTCGCCGCGTACCAGTTCCCTTACCCAAGATACTTCTGAATGCTTTGGGTCAGTTCTCAGTGCATTGGAATCAGATACTCTGAAAGGGTATTTACCTGTGGTACATGTGGCGTGGGCCGCCGTGGCTGGGCCACACAAACCAAACAAAGCACTTTCAGATTCGAACGATCCAAAGTCTGCGGAAAAAAGAATGCTGGTCCGTATCTTGACCTGAGTGCTTACAGCCAAATAACCTAATGTTCCTAAGGTGTTTTGCTTTGAGGGCCAAAACATGTGGTTGGCTAGGCGCACTGGTAACTGGCAATTTGCGCTGCATCTTGATGGCAGGGCCAGACTGAATGAAGTGGCGCATATTGTGGAAACAACTGCAGAAGATGTGTCAGACTGCAACAACGACAGTTGGGCACCTGCATGGGATGGAGGAGCAAAGGCTGGAAGAGTTCTGCTGGCGACCAGGGCGTTGTGGCAAGAAGCGTGGCTGCAACGTTTTGTGCGCAAGTGCATCCGGATTTTTTGAAGTCGAGGCCTCCCTTGTGCTCGCAGCTTGTGAAGTCACGGCATTGACAGCAAAGCGCCATGGCCCACGGGCATTGCGCATGATAAAAAACTTCAACGTTGTGCTTCCGACTGCGTGAACTGGACGAACAAACTCAAGATGTGAAGGATTCGCTGCGGCGAGCAGCCTGTCCGCAATTTTTTTTGTCAACCCCCAACTACAATGCCAGGTCTTTTTCAATACCTGTCACGTGGTTAGCTTTGTGCGCAGGACCAGCTTGTGCAATTGCGCCATCAAACCGCAAAGAACGCAGCAGGGAGTTGAAGTTGCGGCATCGACATTGAAGCACCATGGGCATTGCATATGAGAAGAGGAGTGCGTTTGCACGCTTTTGTTTGTGCACATCCCCAACTAGAATGTTGTTTTCCAGACCTCTCACGAGGCCAAATGTGCGATCAAACTGCAAGATCGCAGGGACTTGAAGTTGCGGCATCAACATTGACGCACCATGGGCATT